AATCACAGCCATCGTCTCCAGCTGTTCTTTTTCCTCTGCCTTGCCTCAAGGCTGTGGCTTCTTTATTTGCTCTTCCTTCTTTGCTACTTCTTCTGCCTTCAACTTTCCCAACCATGATTGCCTTCTGTGAAACACAGAAACAGAGCAAGTCAGAAGGGGCCTCCCGGGCCATCTAGTCTGACCCCCCCCCACACACTCTAGCCAGCTCCACTCACGACATGCCCACCATGGGCATGTCCAGCCTATCTTGAACACCCTCACCGATGGGGCCTCAACCACCTCCTGTGGAAGCCCATTCCATACTCTCGGGGTCCTGACTGTCAGGAAGTATGTCTTGTGAGTCTTGTCTTTTTATGATGTAACCAAAGTACAACAGCTTCAGTTTTGTCATTTTTGTTTCCAAGGAAAGTACTGGATTGATTTGAACTAGGGTCCACTTGTTCATCTTTTTGTCAGTCCATGGTATTTGCAAGTTCTCCTTCAGCACTATGTTTCGAACACATGGATGTTCTTCCTTTATATTGACCAGGAAAATAACAATGAGGATGATCCTGCCTTGGTCCTTAGTGAAACATCCTTACAATTGATGGTATTTTCTAGTTTCTTCATTGCTGCCCTTCCTAGTCTCAGGTTTCCTCTATTCTTGCCTCCTGTCTTGGCTTGATGATTGAGCCACGGTATGCAAAATCTTTCACAATTAGTTGTATAATTCTTCTGTACTCATGATTTCTGTTCTCTTAATGTTCAGCTGCACTCCTACTCTCGCACTTTCTCCTCTCACTTTCATCATATTGATTCATTGCTGTAATATGGCTATCATCTACCTACCTTAAGCTAGTGATGTGCCTTTTGCCTATTTTCACTCATCCTTCCTCTGATCCTAATCCGTATTATTAATTTATTTATTATTAATTAATCCGTATTTGTGTTGTAAGCCGCCCCGAGGCTTCGGCAAGGGGCGGCATAGAAATGTAATAATCATCATCATCATCATCTCCAGGTAGGGAGATAAAATATACCTTTAGTCTGAAACCTTTGCCTATAGGAAATCATTTTCCATATTCTGTCCTAACAGGATCTTCTTCTCAATGATATAGGACACGCATCAGGGCAATGTGGAGGGACCCCTGATTGCTTTCAGAACCATCCATCTCTTCTTGTAATCCACACAGTCAAAGGAGTCTATACAGCAGAAACGGATCTTCTCCTGAAATTCCTTGCTGCACTCAGGTAGCCAATGTATATTTGTAGTATGATTTCGAGCGCCTCTTTCTGTTTGGAACCCAGCTTGAACATCAGGCATTTCTGGCTCCTTATAGGGTAAAATTCTTCATTGCAACACCTTGAGCATCATTTTGCTTGCATGGGCAATTTGTGCCTGCTGCACTCCTCTAAAACTCATTTCTTGGGAACTGGAATTCATGTTGAAATTTTGCAGTCTGTGCGCCTTAGTTTTGTTTTCCATATTTATTGGCATAAACTGGCCAGCAGCTGGACTAGTTCAGTTTCTGCAGCTTGGAATAGTTCTGTTGGTATCCTAACTATTCTGGCTGCTTGATTTCTTCTAAGTGTTTTCAGAGCACCTTTCACTTCACTTTCTAATATTGTATATTCTTCCCCATAGCATTCCTCTTTGATAGAGTCTGTCATCCCTTTTTTCTTCTGTATAGTTTGTCCATATATTGTTTCCACCTTCTCTTTTATCCTAGCTAGATGTTTCCCTATAGGTCTTTTGGCATTCCTAATTAAGGTTTAAAATTTCCTTTCATTTTTCAGGACTTCTGAAAGAGGTCTCTTGTTTTTAAAGTACCATCCTTGTGCAGAGGCAGCTCCATATTCAATCTTGGCATCTCCAGTTAAAAGAATCAAGTAGTAAAGTACAGAGCAAGGCAATAAAAAGATTAGGGGACTGGCAGCTAGGACTGCTCAGCTTAGAAAAAAGGCAAGTAAGGGATAAAGAAGTTTAAAATAATGCATGGAGTGGAGGAAGTAGAGAGGGAGAGAATGTTCGTCTCCCATAACTCTCAAACACGGGGTCATCCCATGAAACCAACTGGTGGGAGGTTTAGGAAGGAATCATTTGTTCACACAGCGTATAGTTAAACTGTGGACTTTGCTGCCATGGGAAGAGGTGATGGCTTTAAAAGGGGATTGGACAGATTCATGGAGGAAGAGGCTATCAGTTGTTAATAACTTTGCTGGCCATGTGCTACCCCCTTCTCCAGAGGTGGCACGCCTGCATACACCGGTTGCTGAGGAGCTTAGGCAGGTAGAGGTTTTGCACTTATCCTGCCTGAGAGATCCTGTGGGAGCTAATCTGCCACCATGTGTACCAGGTGCTGGACTAAATGGACCTTGGGTCTGATCCAGCATAGCTGTTCTTGTATCCTAAATAGTAAGATCCCTGTCTGAGGACAGTTTATTTATTAAAAGCTTTTCTATCCCATCCCCTACAAATGTCTCAAGATAGAAAGCTCCAAATATGGTATGTATTATGCAGTCACCATATTTGTGGGATGTATTTGTTTCCTTTCTATATTGCCCAATAGCTGAAGCTCTCTTGGCAGTTTGCTGGGGTGTGTATGTTCAGCCAACACAAGAGGCTTCTAGACAGAAAGCTACAAACTGTAAGAACCTATGAAAAGCCAAGAGTTCTTTCCACACAGTGGCCACCAGCTGCCCATGGACGGAGCACAAGAGCACCCAACCATGTTCCCCAGCAACTCCATAGTATCCATAGGCATACTGGAAGTAGCGTATACACATCAGGCCTAGTTGCCACTGATAGTCTTACCCTCCATGAATTCGTCCAGACCTCTTTTAAAGCTGTCCAAATTAGTAGCCATCACCACAATTGTGGAAGTGAATTCCATAGTTTAGCTTTGTGAAGAAGCACTTCATTTTTCCTTGTCCTGAATCAATGAGCTGCATGGGATGACCTCTTTGGGTTTTAGTATTTTGAGAGAGGAAGAAAAATGTCTCCCTCTCCACTTTCTCCGTACTGTGCATTATTCAGTACATCTCCAGTATGTCTCCCCTTACTCACTTTTTTCCTGAACCACACAATTCCAGCTGCTAATAACTCTTCCTCATAGGGGAGCTACTTCAGCTCTTTGATCATTTTGCTTTTTAATGATTTTTCTAACTTCACAATATCTGTTTTTAGGGGCAGAGATCAAAACCGTCCATGGAATGAGCAGCTATTCCAGCTTTTCTTCCTTTAGGGTACAATCCTGCGCATGCTTAGACAGAACAAAGGCCTGACTGAGGCATACTGTGAGTTGTTGGCCGTTTTTCTGGCTAAACATGTATAGGATTAGTCTTGTAATCGAGCTAGTGTGGTGTACAGGCTGGAGTGGGACTCCGGAGATCTGGGTGCTAGTCCCCACTTGGCCATGGAGCCAGCTGGGTAGCCTTAGGCCAGTCACAGACTTTCAGCCCAACCTACCTCACAAGGTTGCTGTTGTAAGGATAAGATTAGGAGCAGGAAAAGGGGAATTATGCAAGCCACTCTGAGCTCATTGTATGAAAAAGCAGGCTATAAATTTAATAATAAATAAATACATTCTATTTCCCACTAGGCCACAAAGATTTTTGGCCCATCATGAATGTACCTCATAGGTTTTACTGTGAAAATAAAAAGTGATGGGTGATCATGAATGCCACCTTGAGGAGGAAAAAAGGCAGGATGTAAATTTAATAATTAAATACAGACAGAAGGGGATGCAAGGAAACAGAACCGGTGCAAGATGATGTAGAAATTGTTTCTATCCCACCCCCCATTCAATGTACAATAGAAACAAACACCTGCAGCCTTCCATTTGTAGACCTATGTGTGTTTCACACTGTTATTTATTTATTGTATTTACATCTTGCCTTTTTTATGCTTTTGTTTCTTTCTTTCCCCAAAATAAACCACTAAGCAGGGACACAGAGAAGAGCTAGTTCATAAAAGCCAGACAAGGCTTTTATGGTGTCACTATCCTCCTTCATTCATGGAATTTTATGGGGCCCCGTCATAATTTCCTGCAACTTCTAATTCTCTTGTTTTCCCACCATTACTTCTCTTTCCTCCCCCCCCCCCCCCACACACACACACAAACTGTGGCAAAAAGGATACAAGAGCAGTAATGTTGTTAAGCATTTAAAATATTTGGGGCCTAGATCTGTATAACTCAAATCTCCATATTCTAATTTACCTTTCTCTCTATCTCTATACACTCACACACACACACACACACACATATTTAGACATAATTAATAGGATGTATTTACATTTTGCCACAGGCCAAGCCAGCCAATTAATTTCTTATCCCATCCATCTCAAATAAAATAAAAGAAATTCTTCAGTTAATTTGCACTCCGACCCAAAATATCTAGAACCAATTGGAAAAGTTTTTAATTGCTAAGTGTAATTGCTAAGTAGGGGCGCATTTGTGTGTACGAGGGGTGGCTACGGGCAGGAAGGGGAGACTTAATCTTTCCTTTCCTAGCTGTAATCCCTCTTGAAAGTCCCGACTGCACGGCAATTAAGACGAGGAAAAAATACGGTTAGCACCAATGTATGCTCAGAGCGGTGGGGATTAGCTGCGAACGGCTTGGAAAATACGCCTGGGGCCAAGGCCCCACGGACCCCGGCTTAACAACACCGCCGCATAGCAAGTCCAGACTCGGCCGGGTGGAAACAGTCCCGCGGCGAGCGGGAGCGCGGCGCCGGCGGGCAGGTCCGGCCGGCGTGGGCCGCGGGCTGCGCTCTCGCCTCCCTGCCCACCCCTCCGGTTCCCTCCCATCCATTCTTTCTCTCCCCTCCAGCCAGGAAGCGGCGAGGCTGCTCCTTCGCTGTGCCGCGCTTTTCTTGCAACGCTCCAGCTGAGGGCAGCAAACAGATAGAGTTCGCAATCGCGGGCGTGCACGGAGGCTTCTGAAGGGGAGGCGTTAAAAAGAGAGAAGGTGGGGGAAGAAAAGCGGAGAAGGCGATCTCTTCCCCTCCTTTTTCCTTCTCTTCCCTCCCCCTTTCCAGCTCCTCCTCCTCCCTCCTCCTCCTCCTCCAGCCCTTGTGTGGGACTCCATTTTCCCAGCCCCAAAGTCTCCAAGGAAGGGACCGTGGGAGCGCGCATCCAAGATGGAATAGACCCGAGTTCTTTCTCCAAACGTCGCCCTTGCGCCGCCGCTTGCGAAACCAGGGACAGAGCGCCGGGCTTTTGTGCGGACGCGACTTCTTCGCCTCGGGGCTTGCCCAGAATGGATGAGCAAGGGAGGCTGATCCAAGCCAGGGGGGCTGTGGGGCTCCCGGGTCACCCGCCGGTGCAAGGAGTCCAGACGATGACCCCCCACTCGCTCCACGACCCTCCCTCGGATAACGGAGAGCCGCGGAAACAAGACATCGGCGACATCCTCCAGCAGATCATGACCATCACCGACCAAAGCTTGGACGAAGCGCAGGCAAAGTTGGTTACCTTTCTCCATTCTCGGGCGGCCTGGGCTTTGTGGCGGAGGGTGGAAAGTTGGGTCGGGGGTCTCCTTTGTGCGGCCCACTAGCAGTTGCATGCAAACTGTCGCGAAAACATTGGTTAGTTGCTGGCACTGCAGGGCAGAGGCCTGGGGGTGCGTTCACAGGAGGTCCTCCCGCCCCCAAAAGTCTGGTTTGGCAGTGCGGAGATACTGGGGGTGCCCGTTTGCCAGGTTGGAGTTTGCGGTGGAGACTTTGGAAATTTCAGGGTGAGGATGGAGTTGCTGATGAAAGGCAAAGCTCCAGGGCCCGAGGAGGTCCTTTTATGGCAACCTTCCCCAAGCCGGCGCGCCTCCAGGCGTGTTGGACTGCAGCTCCCATCATCCAACAGCCAGGATAGCTGGTGGGTGATGGGGGCTGTAGTCCAACTCGTTGCGGGGGGCGCGCCGGTTTGGAGAACGACTTTTATGGGCTATCTTAGGGTTCTAGCTTTTGGGGATGAGCTGTTTGCGGGTCGAGATGCCAAATGTGGGTGGAAACTGAAAATTGAATGTTGGAGGGGGTAAGAGGGGGTGCAATCGCCGTGGATAATTTTTTTGGGAAGGCAAAGCAAAGTGGGTTTGGGCTAAGAATGGGAACACTTGTGGCATAACTTCAGTGGCCTCTCAAAGAGATGGAGGCCTGGGGGGTATGGAGCAGGCTTGATTTTATTTCTCGGGTGGATTGTTTAGGAAATGCAGGGCAAGTCACAGTTTGCGGAATGAAAGTGTTGATCAGGTTGGATGCTGCTTCCTCTAGGATTTAGTTCAAAAAGAGGAACTTGGGCAGTTGTGGAAAAAGTGGAGGTATGAATTTGCTTTGTGGCTTATATTCTGGTGTTGGACATAATATATGTACAGAATTAATACAATGATAATCTGATCTGGGAATGAAGATGGGAACTAAAGGGGTGATCAGTATGGAATTAGAATGCATTGGGGAATTGTAATATAGGTTTGGAACAGTATCTACTCTCGCTTTGAATAGACCCATTTAAATCAGTAGAAGTTAGTTTTGATTAACTTAGGGCCTTTTGATTTCACTGAATTTATTTTTAGCAGGACTAAGTAGGAATCCAATCCACAGGGATCAGAGTATCTAAGTTTATTCTGGGTTACCTACCAAATTACTCATTCCTGAGTTCCTCAAGTTTTGCTCAAGCCACTAGACCTCACTTATTTTTCAGTTAATTTAGGAGTCTAACTACCAGGATTATCTCTTTAAGCCACCACATTGCCTTTTGTTCCAGAGGTTTTCCGAAATGCCTAATGATGTGAATTATAGGGTCTCTGTTATGCATTAATATAGGCAATTATTTTTGATGATTTGTCTTTATGTATTAGAAAGAAAGCAAATAGGATGTAACATTATCAATTTGGAGTTAATTCTGATGGGCCTGGTTTTAAGACTCTGTCTGACTTGTGAATATTTGTATGGAGATGGTGATGTTCTAAAGTAAGATTTATTTATTGGTGATCTTTATATTAGAAGGGAAATTTGTGGGATTGTCTTTGTTTTGAGATATGACTGGCAGAGAGTGGTTTCAGATATTGTTTTGAGGCTGTGTTCTGTGTGAAGGAATTGTGGTTTGCATCAAAACGTCTGTTTCAATTCCTAGAAAGTGTTTTCAACTTGGGAGCTTGTCACCATGAGAGAGAATGCAAGAGCTGTGTCTAACTTTTGTGAAGTGGCAGTTTAGAAGGGGAGTAGGGTAGATTTGAAAAGGCAGATTCCTCAAAAGTGTCTCTTTCAGAGACCCGTGTGACTATGTGTTTATAAAAACCAACAGAAAGTGAATGGTAGGTTGGACACCAGGTGGGTACAGAAAAGATGTGTGTCAGATATCTCCGTGGGGTGGACTGTAAACAGAATGGGTCTGTGGGGTGCAAAAGTTGTGTTTTGAGAGGGAGAATTGGGTATGGAAGCTCCATCGTGTAACTGAGTAAAATTTGGGTAATCTCTTCGGGAACCAGAGATTAACTATTTGTGGATGATTTCATTTGAAGATCTGTGTTTGCATGCATCAATTGTTGTCTAGCATTTAGATACTATTCTGTTTCTAGATAGTTTTAATTTGAAAACCTGAACCTTAGTGGTTTGTGAATTGTTTAGAAACATTGTGTAACCAAAATGGAGACTCACATTTTAATAGGTGCATTTATCTACAGAAAGGAAGTGTGCATATTTTAAAAATTGTTTATACTGCATATACTACACAAGGCAAAAGCTGACAATAAAAATATAAAACCAACAAAAATGTTATCTTGGTTGATTTTATTGGTTTATGCTGTTTATTTTAATAAAGTGTAAATGAGGGTTATTCCTTTAAAAAAAACCTACCTTTTGTGTGCCTTCCTTAACTTAAACAAAGTTTGTCTATTTTACAGTACCTGCAGCATCTCCTGATATTTTGATAAACCATTAAACAATTGAAGAACATGTATTTTTTATTGTTGTGACTGTCCCAATGCTGGGATATTACTGGGAATTGCTCAGGGTGGGGTGAGAACTCCATTATATTTGCAAATAAGCAGAGGCTGACTTATTTACAAAGCTGAGGCCTGTAAGCTATTGTGGAACCTGAGATTGTATATATACACCCCCAAACCTCTCTTGTAAGACATTGGCTTTATTTGTTTTCTCTTCCACTGTTTAAACTGCAGGAAACACGCACTGAATTGTCACCGCATGAAGCCGGCCCTGTTCACTGTCCTCTGTGAAATCAAAGAAAAAACAGGTATTGTTTGGGTCAGGGTCTATAAGGGTGGTCTGTTTTTGGTTTTGGTTTTTAATTGAAATATATAGATGAATTTTAATCTGTCAGAGAAGTATTTTGATGTGGAAAGAATAGAAAAGGAGCAACGAAGGCTTCAGGAGAGTTTGGTAGGGCAGAGAGAAAGAACGGGTGTTTTCCCTCAAGAGGTTTTGCCAGAGGCCTGTCGTCTCCGCGCCATCTTGACGCGTCTGGAATTTCTTTTGCTGCCTGCCTGGTTTGCTTTGTAGCCACTTTGCCCCCTTCACCCTCCTCCTCCTCCTCTGTTCCTTACACGGCTGCATTTTCTTCTCTTTGTGTATGTGTGTCTGTGGATAATTTTGCTTGGGGGAGACCAAAAGATGTCTCGGGTAGCACCTGGGCCTTTTGTTCGCACAAGAATAATACACACATGCACCCTCCACTTCCCCTCATGGTTTTGAAATTTTCATTGTTGCCTCTTTTTCCGCCACTTTGTACTTCCAGAATTCCCCTTCGCTTTGGGATGTTTCCCCGGCTGGCTGGCTTAAGTTTCAGGCCTCTCGGCGGGGTGTCCTATGTTCAAGATTATGTGCAAAGTGTGTGTAGCAACTGGTATTTCTTTAGCTCCATCAGTTTGCACCCTGCCTAGATTAAAAAGTGAAACGGCAGCAACCAAGCCATGGGGCCTTAAAAGGATTAGCGTAAAGGAGAGTGAGCGTGTGTCCGGCTTGTCATTAAAAGTTCATCTTGCCTGAGCTGCCAGATTTGGGCCACACATTGCTGAAGTGGTGTGCAGCTGTTTTTAAGGCTGCTATCCTGTACGCATTAAAATGGTTTAAATCCCATTTAGTTAGTGGGAGCGAGGCAGGCTTGCCGTGGACAGCTTGGAGCCAGAATATATAAGATGCCTTCTGGAAATACAGTATCTGGCATGCATGGATGTTGTTGCTTAAATGCGTTAGATAAATGACAAGACTCAAAATGGGTTGCACTCCAACTTAAATTGAGGCACTGCTTTCTTCTTTTAAAAGTTACTGCTTTTTAGTTTGTTTGTTTTTTTCAAAGCAGGTAAAAAGCAGGGAGAAGAGAGCGACAGATACAGACATGGTATAACATTAACAGTGAGGCTTAGTTTGCAGTATAACATTAAAGATGGTCTTGGGTCTGAAAATTCAAACTGTTGGTGTGAATTGTCTGTGTGAATGAGCACCCCTCTTATATGTGTTAATATAATCTGTTTTGCTAATTCATCACCAGTGAATATTTGCTAGAAAAAGTAATTTTGTTTAATGCTGAATATTTATTTATTTAGAATACTCTTATACTGCTAAATATATTAAAATTCCACTGCATTGAAAATATAGTGATTTGCTTATATGAAACAACAGGGCAGAGTATGGGTTGTTGAATTCTGGGTTTCTTTATGTAGAGCATAGAATTATGGGCTGACTATGGATTGGGAAATATAAATAGCCCCAGAAGAGAACCAGTAGCTTGTTGTTGATTTGTGAACTCGGTTACGATAGCTATGAGTTCTTGTTAATGTGGTATTTGTGTGTTGTATGTGAACCCAAAACCATGGGTTGTTTCTCCAGGATGCAAAGGCAGCGGGCAAGAGTGGTAAAAAAACAAGCTGCTCTACATGCTACTGCTATTTATAGCACTGCAAAGTCATTTGGGATACAGGGAAGAGTGGGCAAAGTAGGAGGGAATCAAACAACCCAGAAACTGAAAAAAGCAACTTGCACTTTCATGATTGTCTTACAAACAAATTATGTATAATAGAACAACCTATATTTTGGTTTCTTATTATATGTGAAGAGAGAACAGTATGAGAGAGAAGTAAAATGATAAATATTGAAAAAAGTACAATGCAATAAAAATAGAACAGGGCAGTTACACAATCCATTATAGATCAGGGATAGCTGTGTGAACAAACAGGCTTTCAAGAGGCATTTAAGACCTGCCACCTTTTTTGCATTGAGGAGGTCCATTTATATGCTATTACCTGATGACATTCCATTAGTTTCAGAACAACCAGTAAAGCATCCCCAAAAGATCTCGGAAGTTAAATGGGTACATTGAGGAAGGTAGTCAGCTAGGTTACGTCTTTGAAAGAGGTGGTCCTCCCTCTTTCGCTTTTTATTTCACAACAGCCCTGTGAGGTAGATTGGGCTGGGACCGAGCTTTAAGGTATCCAGTAAGTTTCACAGCTGAGTGAGAATTTGAAACTGGTTCTCCCCAGTCCTAGTTGGACACTCTAAACTCCGAGGTGGCATCCTGCAAGTGTGTCAGAGCACAATTTCTGAATGCTATCTTGGGGAAGTCTGCTCTAAATGAACTGGTTCTCTTCTGAGTTAATTTTATACACACACACACACATTTATATGCAGAAGTCTGAGATATATGAGTTGCTTACTGGCATCTCTTGCATTCTATTGCCTTTTAGCCGCACAGCTTATGTTACCCATTTTTACACATCATTCTATTCTGTCTGTCTATATACATAACTGCCAAACTAGAATAACCTTTTCTGTGTCTGATAGTGTGGTCTACAGCTTGTGAATGCTTATATTGTAATAACTGTCCAATCCTATACAAGCTTACTGAGTAGCCAGTGAGATCAGTGAGGACTGCATACCTTTAAGTAATTGTGCATGCAGTTGCTATCTGAGGCTGCAGGTTTATGCATGCATTCCTGGGAGTAAGCCCTGCTGAAATCTGTGGAATTAAACATGCATAGAATTGGGCTGTTTGTTAGGTTTTTTAAGAGCTTTTGTGATTTCTGAATTGGGAATACACTTTATGTCATTCTGCAACTCCCTGCCAAGAGAGACTAGGTTAGCCCTCTGCTGCTGTTCTCTGGCTAGCTGGCAAATACATTTTTTTTCAAGAAGGCCTTTGGCATGTAAGGGTTGAACAGGGTTTCCACTGGTTAGGGCTGTTTGTTTCTTGTTCTGCTTTTAACTTATTTTTCTGTTACATATTTGTTAAGAATTTGTTTTTAAATCTGGATTTCATTGTTAACTGCCTTGAGCTCCCTCTTTTGGTGGAAAGGCAGGATATATATTAAATTAAAAAATAAACTACAGAAATAGTGTGGAAATTGTGTGGGAGTTTGTGGTTTTAAATACTGCATATTGAATGTGTGTGGTCTTGTTTCTTTGAAAGGCTGTGTGGTTTGGACTGCAAATTGCCATCCTGTAATTGTGTGTATTAGGAATGTAAACAGAAGGCTGGTACTCTACATGTGATGGAAAGGGCCTCCCAGTGTCAGAACAGCCGGGTCATGTGGCATAGTTGCACATATAGACTTTTGGCTCTATTTACATCCAGTGGAAATAGAACAGGGGGTTGTTAGTGTGTTTAATTTAGCAAGTGAGAGGGGATGTAAGCTAAACTATGCAATTAGCTACTGGGACAATATTTTGAACACCACTATCTTAGATGGCTTTACATAGTGAACAGACAGATTTGTAGAGGATAAGAGAGCCAGTGTGGTGTAGTGGTTAGAGTGTTAGGCTGGGGCTCAAGTGATCTGGGTTCTAATAGTCGCTTGCTTGTGAGATTCACTGTCTGACTTTGGGCCAGTCCCTGACACTCGGACTAACCTACCTCCCATGGAGGATAAAATGGAGGAGTGGGAGGGTGGACACAGCCTTTGGCTCCTTGGAGGAAACACTGGACATGGCTATAACAAATAATGAAGGAAGCCCAACAGTGGCTGCGAGTCTTGCAGATGATGTGGGGCCTTCCGACAGTCCAGGGGAAGCTATCGCATTTGGCAGAGGGAAACTGTAGAGTCAGGCTCAGTGGTGGGAAGCCAAATTCTGAGAAGCTCAGTTCCACCAGATTGCCCACTGGCTCAGGAGCTGGGAAGGAATAAGGCATAGAACTACAGTATGGCCCATTTTCCACAATTGGGAGATCTAATCTCAACGGAGCTGCCTGCTTCTCAACAAGGGTTGTCTTCTGTGGGAACACAGCCGCAGCAGGTTGTCTCTGCAGGAATGTGAGCTGCAGAGATGTCTCCTCTGCTGCGTGATGAACTAAAGAGGGTAGATTTCCCAGCCAGGTGCAACAAGCGCCTGAAAGCCCAGTTTCTCTGCCAGGATAAATTACCTTTAACAGCCACTCCCCTGTATTTAAACCAGGATGCGGCTAACTTAGAAAGCACCTTGCTTTCACTGTGAATTTACCAGGATTTAATCTGTGTATTAAAGACAGGGCTACCTGGGTCTTTTGTTGTCATCTCATGAACTGATTCTTGTCAAGGAGCTACGTTGTCACCTGCTAAGTTGGACTGTAAAGGTTGATAGCTAATTACTTGGATTATAGCAGTAATTTGTTTTGCCAAGACCTGTGTCTTGGCTCTGGGATATCAGGTTCCTACAGCAGCTTTCAGAGGGCAAATGCCTCTGAATTGTGCTAGGGAATTGTGACAGGTGAAGGCTGCTACCTTTGTGTCCTGCTTGTGAGCTTTTGCTTGGTCACTAGGCAAAACAATATGGGACTTTGATCTGGTCTAGCAGGCTGCTTCCTCTTATCTTCTTATACCAGCTACAGTACATTAGTATTCCTGTCCATTCAGAAATACGGAATCTACTGCAAAGTGGATGTGTATAAAATGGCAGCTTTAGATAATACCCATGTTGGTGAATGGAGGCATGCTGGGTAGGAAAGCACCAGTGACTGGGATGCCAGAGAAATCTGCAATCCACTTAAATTTGTCTGGATCTCTCAGGGTCTGCCCCATGGGCTCCACAGTGGCCTGGTTTTCCTGGACTGATTTTCTTATTTTGCATATCTTTGCACAAATTTAGCTGCCAAAACGCTGTACAAAAATCACACATAATCCACACATAATGCCTGTTTTATGAAACATCTGTTGGCTACAAGTTATTTTATGAACCAAATACAAGGCATGCATTTTACTGTTAAACCACTAGATGCTTGAGGGCGCATCTTCTGCCGTAAGAACACTTTCTCCTAGGGCCTCGATC